ATAAAATAAAATAAAATAAAATGACAAGTTAACAAAATGGATGAACTGTGTTACTTGGTTGTAAATAAGATAGCCCAAGCCCTTGCTTTTTTAACACTAAGTATAAACCAACATCAGAACTGGATGTCTTCCTAGTATTTAGAACTTTCAACGACAAGTTATGTTCCCTCCACGCCAAGAACCAAACTCAACTATAATTGGTGCATACCATCAAAGGTATGAGTTGACTTCTTAGATGTCTACGACGACTCTTCTTCCATCAATGTATCCGAAGGGACCCTTGAAGTAAGTGGTTTTCCCTGCCGCTCGTGCTTCCTCCATCTTCGGCCATGCTGCAGCTCGCGCCTCTCTGTCAACCTTGCAGAAGTCCTCTTTGAAGCGGATTCCAGCTTGTTTGCAGAAATTGGAATTTTTTGTTTGCCTCCAGATCTCGTCGCGGTGAAACCTCATGACAAACTGGATGATGACTTGGCGATTTCTTCCTCCTTCTCTTTTGCCAATTCGATGAACGCTGTCGATCACTGTATCCATAGTTGAAGCCCATTGTGGTGCGATCTTTGATAGGATGCATATTATCTCCTCACGAATCTTCTCATTTTCTTTTTCTTGTAGACCGTGAATTTTGAGGTTCYAGCGCCTMTTGTATCTTTCCAATTCAGTTACTCTTTCTTTTAGTTCTTTATTTTCCTTGGTAAGTTGAGGTATTGTGTTTTCAAAGACTTTTACTTTGGCTTTGCATTCTTGGATTTCAGCTGAATTAAATTCCACCAGCTTAGCGATGCTAGCAACCATCGTGGAATTTTCTCTCATTTGCTTCCCAAAAGTATCGATTTTTGCAGTTAACTTCTCAATTGCTTCGACCAGGAGCTCGTTCGATTGGTTTGAGGYAGTTTTGATCTTGACAGGTGGAGCTGAAGRTTTAGTTGGTGTAGCAGGGGCATTTTTCCTCTTACCGGAGCTGTTAGCAGTTTCCATCGGTGCGTAGTCGTGGTCAGCCAAACTAGCTTGACTTGATGTTAGCTTAGCATCCGCTTTCCCGCTCGCCATGTCTTACTCAATTTCGTCCCGAGATTTGAATCAATTTCAAATATTCTACATGAAATGGATGTATTCAGTTGAAGGTCTGCACACCCTGACTGTCTATTTTGTAATTGACATTGGTTTTATTCGTAAATTTCGGGGCAATAGGGTAGGAGCTTAGAAGAGCGGACCAACCTGTTCCGCCATCTTTCCGGAAGTCGTGTTGACATGATGTTATATTACTGGCTGTAGTCTGCTGCGTTCAGTCACAATCATGCAGAACCTTCTTGTTTCGGTTCTGTTTGTTTGTCGCTCACAATTAAATCATATTTGATTATCATATACGCAGACTTTTCTGGTATTATTTCAACGTGTTTCTGCTTTTTGCGATGACAA